TACATATTCTTACACGTGTTTCTTTGATAACTTCGCGGAAGCCCGTTTTGAATTCCTCACTGGGCGTGCTGTGGAAACCTCATGGTTCCACGAAACTTTGTGCAGACGCCTTTCATGTCCTCCAAGTTTGCCAGTCATGTTGCCCTGGAACGGTTACATTATGCGCTATCGGTACAACGTATCCAGTTGGAAACTGCCACTTTCAGCGATATCGGTTGGCATTTATCTCAGCCCTACCTTATATTCACCGTCACCAGGTCGCCGACTACGTGATCCCCTTAGTAATGCTGTTATCGGGTGGCAATTACGTCACTGATTAACACCTTGGTTCCTTTGTATAGTGATAACTATGCCACCATCTCCGTACCGATGAATCCCGTGCTATATTTACTAGGCTGTACATACGGTGTTCGATCTTCGTTTGAGCAGTAAAAGCGCTTCGCCGTAGGTCATTGTCTTCTCTCTCAGGGTAGCGAGTAGTCGTGCGGTGTCCCTGTTTGTCTCGGAGTAGTGAGGAAGAACCGTTGACTGACTAAGCCACTCTGACTCAGCGATCCGGATACGATCATTCACTTGTCCGCGCGGGACACAGGTCACCAGAGCGGAAACGTTGTTCCGACTAAGGATGCTGTGTCCAACCGAGGACGTTACAATAGGAGGATGTCGATATCTCCGGATCAGGGGAATTAAATTCATCTCTGACAAGGATGCGAATTCATCGTGTGTATTACTCTGATCAGGGACAGTATGAAGGGATAATCCAGTTCCGGAGTGAGTGTTGAGTGACGCCAAGTGACAACCACGAAGCGTACGCCTCCGTGTCACAATCGGACACTGTAACCGATGGAGTCAGTTACACGACTATCCGAAGCAGTCAACACCACACATCACAGGCTGTTGTGGCAGCACAGACGAACCTTACCTACCTTGTTAGGACGATCGTTCATAATACTTTCTGTGTAACCAGCTTTCACTAAAACTAATGAGGTCCCGTGAATATACCACCATACTTAGCCGATTATTAGGCCAGTTGGCTAAGCAGCTCTTGAGCCATGGTATACTTACACGGCAGCTTCTACGATTTCGGCAGTACATCAATGAATGCGTACATCAGATGGCGGTTGAACTATTTGCTGAGCATGGCAATTTTGTTGCAAACATTTCGTCACCAATCGAGGTGACATCACCAGTGCGTAGTTGAGTGGCATGCAGTAGCGTAGAGTAGCGCAGCGGAGCCTCGGTGAGAGTGCGCTGAACGTTGTGTGCGTGCGTTTTTATACCGCCTTGGTTGGCCGTGGAGCCTATTGGTTGGGACTTCGATCCGCGTTCAGCTTGGTTGATAGACAGATGACCTTTGACCTCGCCTCCTTCTGTTTCGTGGCCTTTGTTTACTTGCTCTTGCGAGCGAGTCTGCCGTCAGTTCTGGTTGTCGAGTCACACGTTCCACCGGATTCAATCAATCGAGTTGGCGATCCTTCATCAGTAGTGTGGAGTATACTGCGTCCAGTTCGATATGTCGATTGACTGAATGCGTTGTAGAGTACCAGGTTTCTAAAAACTCCCTCTCGTGTTTTGTAGAACTATGTGTTAATATCTTTACGTTCTGCAGCTCGAAATGGTGGCCTTCTTGAGCTTCATGCGCAGAAACAAATGAGTGCGGATCATATATTCTGACGGCCGCCTTGTGTTCGGTGATTTATGTACGAAGATTTCTTCCAGTTTGTCCGACATAGTTTGATTGTAGTCGCTGCATTTTAGCTGATAGATGACATTGCATTGGTCGGCTTGCTTGACTTTTCTTTGGGTCTTTAGATCAATTTCTTTAGGGTGGCACTTGGTTTGTGAGTCACAGAGATTCCATGTGACTGCAGCAATCTTCCTGTTAGTTCGGAGACGTTCTTGAGGTAGGGGAGTACTAACCGTTTGTTTGCTTGATCAGATGACTGCTGCCGCTATTGATGAGACGTTCGTTTCTTTAGGCTTCTCCCGATGAAATTTTTCGGACAACTCTTGTTTCTAAACACTCGATATAGCTGAGTTTCTTCCTGTTTCCGCGATTCGGCTGTGCTGCAGTACGTTTCCGCTCTTTTGGACGAACGCCTCAGCAACAGCGGCAGCAGTCATCTGATCAAGCAAACAAACGGTTAGTACTCCCCTACCTCAAGAACGTCTCCGAACTAACAGGAAGATTGCTGCAGTCACATGGAATCTCTGTGACTCACAAACCAAGTGCCACCCTAAAGAAATTGATCTAAAGACCCAAAGAAAAGTCAAGCAAGCCGACCAATGCAATGTCATTTACCAGATAAAATGCAGCGACGGCGATGAAAACTACGTTGGACAAACTGGAAGAAAGCTTTGTACATAAATCACCGAACACAAGGCGGCCGTCAGAATATATGATCCGCACTCATTTGTTTCTGCGCATGAAGCTCAAGAAGGCCACCATTTCGAGCTGCAGAACGTAAAGATATTAACACATAGTTCTACAAAACACGAGAGGGAGTTTTTAGAAACCTGGTACTCTACAACGCATTCAGTCAATCGACATATCGAACTGGACGCAGTATACTCCACACTACTGATGAAGGATCGCCAACTCGATTGATTGAATCCGGTGGAACGTGTGACTCGACAACCAGAACTGACGGCAGACTCGCTCGCAAGAGCAAGTAAACAAAGGCCACGAAACAGAAGGAGGCGAGGTCAAAGGTCATCTGTCTATCAACCAAGCTGAACGCGGATCGAAGTCCCAACCAATAGGCTCCACGGCCAACCAAGGCGGTATAAAAACGCACGCACACAACGTTCAGCGCACTCTCACCGAGGCTCCGCTGCGCTACTCTACGCTACTGCATGCCACTCAACTACGCACTGGTGATGTCACCTCGATTGGTGACGAAATGTTTACAACAAAATTGCCATGCTCAGCAAATAGTTCAACCGCCATCTGAACAACTTGATCTACCAGCCTTCAATTCTGTAGCTAACGCGTAATCCAGTCTCGTGGCTTCGTCGTACAATAAGAGCCCGGCGAACAACCGTGCTTCTGTGAGTTATTGGCGACTGGTTCGCAATTAGGTACAACCGCTTCCTAAGTAAGGTTCGCCTATAACACCCATTGCCTTCGGTTCCTGTGGGATTTGGCTGGTCATCTTTAGTCGAGTTCCAGATAGCAGTCCTTAACTGAAGATTTGCCACTTCTTTACTAGCCATACTGTCATTTGTTATGACTTTTATTATTACTCTCGGGTCGCCCGCTTTGGAGCTCAGTGATGTATTAGCCCTGACCTTGATTTCGCAAGCATGTCGAGCTAATTTGCAATGCGTATTGCTGGCGGCATCCGGTTCCGAATTTGTCTGGCATTGCGGCCAACCACAGGATGCCTGTCCCTACAAAGAGACCATGGATACTTTGCGCCGCATCACCCACGGATCCATCCATACACCCCATATCCAACCTAAATCCGAAGGAATAATACTGGGAGGCATGCGGATGGAAGATACGTTACAGCAATGTAGCCGGCCCACATTCCAGACACTGCAACAGCATCACTGTCTATGTACTTGGGAATCATGCGTACCAGACGTACACAAAGCGGTGGCTGGGCCGTAGTTCGCTCCACACTGGATGGAACCACTCTTCGAGCCTAGCACGGTCACTAGGACCGTGCGCCCCGTCGCTATTAGCGAAGGATAGCAGTCTTCTGAAGCCAGTGGTCGAAGTGGATGACGTTGGATTTGTAATCCCTTTGTCAACATTCACATGAAACGCAACCACACCGGGGATATCAAACAACCAAGATAGAAAGTGAAGGAAAATAAAACCACAAAATTGACACGGAATATGCTTCAGAATAACAGAACGGAGCAAATCAAACAAAGTGAAGTACCTGTTATCCAGATCTAGAAGATCTATTTTATGTGTAAGTCAGTATGGGCCAAATGCGGTGAAGAACCATGTTGTATGCAACTTCATCCTCGAAATGAGGTGCTCACGATGCGTATACCAACTCATATATGTCTGTAAGCCAGTCACACAGGTAGGAGCCTGATTTGCAAAATAAGGGACGCGCGATAAGCTAGGTTCATCCTGAGTACTCAGTCTATCACCGTCAACCTCAATGGTCAATTGGGCAGCTGGCTTCATTGATTGGTAAACCTCTACTGGTTAAAGGTTATCGGATCTAGCCCTGCTCAGTAATCAAACTTGTCTCGAGCTACACTAGTCTCGCCACGTTTGTTTTCATGAGGCTGTTGCAATAAGCTAGCTGTAACCATCATGGTGTGTTAGAAAGTAGATCGTTGTTAGCCTTAAGTCACACTAAACACGGGGACTGAACTTCCGTCATCCACATTAGACCAGAACCTCGTTTGGTCATACCCACTTTATGCAGGGAAATGCATATCGCCTGTTGTTAATGGTACTGAGATATTAAGCAATGCCTTCGTCATCCACCTATCATTTTCCCACCGTACTTTCCAACTTGTCGAACTAATTGCCACTATAATTTTAGGGGAAAGATGAAGCAACTCGAAAGCATAGGGGGTCGCCGAGGGTCAGGGGACACCTAATTCCCACGTCAAACAGGATGTAGATTTGATTCAGGTTTGAAGCAGGATTTGACTGAATCTTCGTCACATAGTAATGGAAGTGGTGGTATTCCCTAAATTACACTTATCTTGATCTACGGGAAATGTGACGTGCCACCAATTTAGTTGGGACTGATGAACAGCCTGGACCACAGCTTTTAACCTTTTCGTCGCACAGTATCTGTAAAATAATGTGTGAGTACGAATATGGAACGATGTCAAATCATAAGCAGCTAGCTGTAGTTGAAACATGTCAGCGGCAATTCAAAACGGGTGAATTGGCGTAGTGTTTCAATTAATGGCAATACTGCTTTTGCTAATTTCACAGCGCAAACATAAGATGCGGACGTAGAGTAATTTTCGGTATCATCTTGACTGGCACCTTACATGTACACTTATCCTCAGTAATGTACCATGTCTTACTTGCTATCATAAAACACTTATCACTACCTTTTTTGAAGGAAATCGCACCATACACTACCACGTTCTGTCAGGATAACGAACACTCACCGATACCAGACCACACAGATCCGTCAAAGATGACATTCCGATCTCATTACCCTGACTTGTGTATTCGTTTGAACAAGTTCGCCAATTGTCTGCTATCCTCTCTGCATCCGTCGGGTACGGAAGAGTTTGATCATGGAACCTCCACAGGCTCGTCCCCGTTCCATACCATCAGTACCGACAGTTCCGGTTTGGCTAGTGATCGGCCAAGTGGTCGAGTCACGAAGATTATAAGCCAACCGTATCGTTACAACCTGGCCGACTCCATTGAGCACAGTCTCTCCACTGGTACCGAAGGTGAAACTGGTGACACAGATATTGGGACAGTGAGAAGTGGTAGCACCGATGTGCGGAATGAAGCGCATACCCGAAGAGCTGCTGCTGGTACTGGAGGACGCATACAATCAACAGAGTATCGTATTCTGGCAATCGTATGGCGTCAGCTTTTGGCTGCATTATCGCATCACCTGCTGGATGTTCTATTGAAAACAGGTAGGCGAACAAAATACAAAATGATTTTGTTATCCCCTAAATGCTTAACAATCCAACCATTCACTGCCCTCATGTGGTAGATTCCTCCTTCAGAATTACAGACCAGGTAAGATTTCCCTTGAACTACATTATAAATAAAGAGTCGTGTGTCCTCACCTTTGTGCGTTCGAGTGCAGAGCATTGGTAAGTACTTGGGAAGCTCCACAGGAGTGCTGCTAGCAAGCTGCACGCTTGTGGCATAACACTATTGTAATCGATCGCTTATCCAGACCTTAGCTAGAATTTTAGCAGTTAGCGACAAACAGCTTGTTATACAAATAGATAGATAAATAAGTAAGCAAATTTCATTTAGTACCAAGGAACTTTTGACTTGGGATTTGTGACATTGCGTTTCCCACTGGTACGCTACTCTATGAGCGGATAGTCCTACCTGAAACTCCTGTGCTTAAACGTCTCCTTGGGTAAACGGTGAGTTGAAAAATCTAGCGTTCACGATTTTCTTTCAGGAACAGTGTTGCACACGGCATTTAGCCGAAATGGATGTCGACTATGTAGTTAGCAAGGACGAGCCACGAACTAAACATGTACTCGAGTATGGATACCAGAAGACAAATATGGTCTGTTATAGTGGAATATATCAGTGAGGTTACAGGAGGATACAAAATGATAAAGCGAATGAAACCGAGCATCAGTATAGTTCATCACGGAGCATTTGCATGAAGCACAGAAGCAGACTATTAAGAACTTGGAGTCGGAAGCGGCAAAATTCGAATAGGCTAAGCCACAGCCAGGTTGTGCTAAAAAGTACAGATGAAATGACGGATCCCAATTCACGGCCCATGGTTCTCGCTCTCTGGACTCTCTCTCTCTCTCTTTTCGGTCAAAGTGCTGGCGGCTGGGTATACTAAACTTCACTCTACCGCTCATCAAACTACCCGCTTTGTTCCACCTTTATTCAACCACTTTGTTCTTGATAACCTCTTTCTAGTCTTCAGAAATGCATTACAATGAAAGATATATATGGTGGCATTAATAAGACACTCAAGAGCGATCGCACGCACTCCATTTCCCACAACAAGGTTTTTATTATGCCCCGCTCGCTATTCAAGCTAGATACGTCTGATGTTCGAAAGCTTATGCAAGATTGACCACAAGTCACTCTTGCGCACACTTTGGAAACCTTTTCCACCCATGTTTGTTTGCTAACCGAAACCCGTTCACGGGACTCCAGCACAACGTTGCGATTGCTTTCAGCATCCTCAAGTTCCGGTTGCGGATTCACCTTGCGCTTATTTGAAGACGCGACAGCGGTTGTCATTGGTTGCGCCGGCGTAGGAGTTGCGTTAATTGCGCGTGATGAGCCAGAGCTCAATGACTGATTCCCAGTAATTCCGCTTGCACTTCGCTTGGAAAACTCAGTGCGATCTACCAGCCACGGGACTGGAAGGTGCTGCTCATCCATGGTAGCGACGTACGCTCCCACGGACTGTAATCTGGATACAGTTAAAGATGAGTTCTACCACCAACTCACTGACCTCCAAGGCAAGAAACGCCGCACAAACATCATGGTGCTCGCCGGAGACCTGAATGCCAGGTTGGTAGACTGGTGGTTCATGGACGGGAACTTGATGGCCAACACAGCCACGGGATTTGCAGGACAGACAATGCCGATCGCTTCCTTCAATTGTGCCGTGACCGCCCCTTGTTCTTTCCGGGCACCAATTTCCAACATTCCTGGCTCCAACGCGCCACCTCGTCAATAATGTATGTAGCTAGAGCAAATCGCTATCTGCTACCGTTGGCGAAGCTCAGACACATTGCGGCACCTCGAAGCAAAGGAAAGCGGAGGAAGGTCATCTGTTCAAAATGTTTACATGGTATGGGTATCCCGAGTTTCATTTTACGTTTTGTAACGTCGATAAAACAACCATTGTTTGATCATACAATAGCAACGGATAAAAGGACGATGATTCTACCATACATCAACAGAGTCCCAGAAATGGCGGCGAGACCTATCCTATCTCTCGGAATCAGAATTGCTCACAAGCCAATAGAAACTATCCGAGATAAGCTTTTCAACGCTAAGCACAGACTTGACATGGAAGGAACAAACGGTGTGAGTTGCAAGTTCCACTGCAGTAAGGTAACAAATATAATGTGGACCAGACAGGAAGGAAGCTTGGCACTAGGCTACACGAGCATTGTCTAGCCATCCGCCGACATGACCAGAACTCCCTGATGTCGGTACATATGGGCGCCGAGAATCATCAGTTTGACTTGGAGAATGACAGTATCATAGTTAGGGCGAAAAGTCAAAAAGCGTGCGTGTTCATCGAAGCCTGTTATTCGGGGCAGAACAACAGACACTTGGAGCTAGATATTGCGTATGAAGCGTTGAGGGTCCAACCAACAATGCGCCTCAGACCAACAAGACAACAAAATGTCAGAGGCGGGCGATAGCCAGTGGAACACAAGAGCTGACTATACGGTCAACTTACGTGGCCCCATCGACTCCTGACATTCGGATAAGTAACTGCTCAATAATCACTTGGACCTGGAAGTTACCCGCATAAATCGCACTGATGCTATCGTCCAACCTTTATGATGAAAGGTTTGCAGTTATGCACCCAGCTCGGAGAACATCCGAATACTCTCATCGGACTGCAAGTCAATTTGGAACACCTACTTGAATTCGGATCATGCGTTCGTGTGTACTGAGTTCATCCTGCGCCTTGAAAACACCCTACGTTTCCAGAAACGGCTTGAAACTGGCAGGCCAGCCGATTCAAATATTCTCGTTGCATTTCAGAACACATTAGCCACTAACCTGCGTCCGCTTTCCTCTGACATTGAGATACACTGAGCACAGATTCATAGCACCTTAGAGGAGTCTGTTACCCTGGTCTGTGGCTTCATTAGACGGGTTGCTAACCATTGGATCTTCGCACAGTCTCTCCAATGAATGGAAACCCGTCGACAAATTCCCGCTGGAGTTGAGTACAACGCACTACGCAAAACCACAGGTGCTGAGCTCAGACAGTTTTCCAAGAAGGATCGCGAGGTTTAAGGTAACAAAGCGTAGTTAGGATAAAGTGAAAAGCCTCCTCAGGTAACTCCCGCAAATTCTTCTGATCGATTCGCTTCACGCGTGACAGAAAACCGACAGCTAGGTTTTGTATGCAAATGACGGCGAACCAATCCACAGCCATCAATGTCGTTCTATACGTTAGGCGGAGCGCTTTGAAGATCAGTTCAACTGGTCACCAGTACAATAGAGTTTATCTTTTGGGATTCACAGTACTCGCTGGTGCGTGTATTTTTCTCCGTCGATTGAGGATGAGATTCCCTATGAGTTCCGTCAGCTAAATCACCACAAGTAACCTGTTCCAGATGAACTTCCTCCTATCTTCCTCCAGGATGCAGGTGCTTCTCTCATCCGTGAACTGACATCCCTCTTCCATCAGATATGGGCTGCTGTGACCATCCCATTCCATTGGGGATTAGTGCAAGTCGTACCTGTTTACAATAAAGGAGACGGAACCGTTTGCTCTAATCATTGTGAGTCCACTCTGGGTTGCGTCCAAACTGTTCGCTGCCCTACTCTTTCAGAGATTCAGTTGAGTACGAGAACAGCACCTGTGTGAAGAACAAACTGGGTTTCGCCCTGGTCGCAGTTGCCTCGATCACATGATTACGATCCGAAAATACTTGAACTCAGCCATATGTTCAGTCGACCAACCATAGTATTCTGGGACATTCGAGCCGCGTTTGTCTCTGTTGGCAGGGTGGCACATTAGGACCGCTTACTGAAGAAAGGAGTACCCGAAAAGTAAATCAGTATTATCCGTGCCATTTACTATCAAACCGCGTGTCGCCTGTGAGTCTAAGGCATCGTTTTACCCCCATAACTAGTGATGTTAATCAGGGTTGCCCAGCCCCTCACTTCATGTTCAACTTTGCCATGCACGAGATTCTAGAATTCCCTGGCGTCGGACTACTCCAGAGTGACTACCTTCGAGAAGTACAGTACGCAGATGACACCGTTGTTTTTTATGAGTTTTCACAGGCACCCCAGCATATGCCTGGAGATGTAGGCCTCACGATTTGGGCTGACTTTTGTCCCTTCCAAGTGTAAGGTCCTGTTACAGCACCGGTCAAGTGCGTCTTCCTCTCTCATCTTTTCGGGGCATGTGCTGGAAGAGATTGACCAATTCATTTATCATGGGATTTGTCATAGTATTAGCGGTTTGACGGATGAGATTTACATGCGCATCTGTAAGGCTACAGTAGGTTTTGCTAACCTCCGTCATCTGTGACATCGTTGTGGCTTCAGTCTCGACATTAAGGGTCGAGTCTTCAAAGCTACATTATAAGCAGCCATCTCGCAGTGTTAGGAGACTTGGCCCGTTCGGAAGACTGATTTTTAGCAGCTATCAGTCTTCGACCACCGCTGTTCTCGGAGCATTGCTGGGGCCCGATGGCAGCATCATTTCAGTAATGGGGAGGTTCGTCAGCGAGTTTTCCACGCTGATAAAATCCCCCGACCGCTTACCACCTTTATTTCACTGCGGAGTCTTCACTGGCTTGGACATATCCTTTGAATGCGATTACCACAACGTGATCCATTTTCGATGACAGGCTTAGGCTAAAAGAGCATATACTATGATACATAGACCGATGTAAATCCTGGATCCAATGCGTTAGGACGCAAACGTCGAAGCTAGCTGTTGCTGGGAGCTCCCGAATCCTGGCTTGGGGACCCAAGTATCGTTGGCACACATGGCAACAAAGGTTGCTGGATATATATATATATATATATATATATATATGTACAGCCCATGGTACAAGTGGCATAGCTCCACAACGTATGGAAAAGACAATAAATAAACAGGGGAGAGAGAAGAAAACCGTGCTCATTGGAATAGTGAGTCACAACATGTCCGCCATTGTGCACGGTTTCTTGCTATATCCGAGAGTGTTTCCAGCCATGTGTGTTCCGGATCCTTCACACTCCAGCCAGGGAGCTGAGAGCACCCGACCAATGCTACATTTGACCTTATCTCTTTCATGCGCCTGGCCC